TTTAATAACTTTTTTGTAAATATCGGTCCTAACCTGGCATCCAAGATAAACAACTCGAACAATTCATTTAATAACTATTTTACTGACCATACTAGTTCATTTTCTGAGAGTGACCTAAAATTGGAGGAATTTGAAGAAGCAAAAAAATCAATCAGAAAGAACAAAGCTCCGGGCATCGATGACATTTCCAGCAATGTAGTATATGATATTTTATCCATTGTAGCAGATCCTTTATTTAATGTTTTCAAGTCATCAATTAGAACTGGAGTTGTTCTGAACAAATTAAAAATTGCAAAGATTTTACCTGTATTTAAAACTGGAGACACGGCATTGCTAACCAATTATAGACCTCAATTCTTCCAGTATTTTCCAAACTCAACAAAAGAATAATGTACAACCGGCTTTATAAATATTTAGCAGACAATAAAATTCTAAGTGAATGTCAATACGGCTTTCAAACTAATTATTCTACGGAACATGCAACCTTAGACCTAATGGACAACATTAGCTCGTCATTTGATAAAGGAAAATTTGTATTGGGAGTTTTTATCGATCTTACAAAAGCTTTCGATACTGTCAACCATAAAATTCTCCTCGAAAAAATGAGAAAATACGGTATAAAAAATCAAACTAATAAATGGTTCACTAATTATTTAAATAACAGGCAACAATGTGTTATTATAGACGGTATCACTAATACGGAGTTATTAAAAATCAAATGCGGTGTCCCCCAGGGATCTATTCTTGCACCTTTATTATTCCTTATCTACATTAACGATCTTCCTAAAACCTCTACAAATCTCGATTGTATAATGTTTGCAGATGATACCAATCTGTTCTATTCATCTACCTCTATCAATGACCTCTTTGATAAAGTCAACTTTGAACTTCAAAATCTTAAAACATGGTTCAGTGCTAACAAGTTATCATTAAACGCGCAAAAAACTAAATATATTTTATTTCACTTAAAGAAACAGAAGAACAAACTACCATCAATTCTACCGACACTAAGTATTGACTACAAAAAAATTGAAAGAACCCAAACAATTAAATTTCTTGGTGTGATTATTGACAAAAATGTTTTATGGACAGCTCATATAAATGCCATCAACACTAAAATATCTAAAAGTATTGGTATACTTTTTAAAGCTAGACCATTTTTATCGCAAAAAAACCTAAAACTTCTTTACTTTTCCTTTATACATAGTTATCTCACATATGCCAACATAGCCTGGGGAAGCACACACAAGACAAAATTAATATCTCTTTATCGACGACAATAACATGCTTCTAGAATAATACATCATAAAAACAAACTGACCCACGCTAAACCCCTATTAAAAGAAATGAAAGCACTAAACATTTACCAAATTAATATCTACGCTAACATTTTGTTCATGCTTAAATACAAACTAGGATTAGTTCCAAACCAATTCACAGGAAACTTCTTTCAATCTAATATCAACAAATTTAAAACAAGAGCAACTTGTAACTTTATTGTACCCCTGAAAAAAAAAAAAAGCTCTCAATTTTCTATTTCTTATCGTGGCCCATATTTATTCAACAAATTAATTCCGAATTATACCTCGATTTCTCTCCCAGACAATATAACTTTTTTAAAGTCGAAACTCAAAAATTACGTTCTTAATATGGATAATTACCTAGAAATCTTCTAGTTCTGATGGTAAATCAAAATTTACGCTCAAATTAAAATAATCAGCAATCAAATACATATGGAAAATGTAAATTTTTGTTTAACAAATAAAGCTAGTATTATTATTATAAACCTTAACACTAACACAAAACATAGTTCAATTAAAAAGAAAAGAAAAAAAAGTTTGCAATAATAACATGTAAAACATTTCTTTAATGAGAATCACATTGTTTATATGTGTGCTTTACGCAATACCTCAAGGTTCTCGATGATAAGACTAATCTCAGTCTTCTACGAGTTCCCTACAACAACAAAACCCTTCTTATCAAGTCATAGCATACCTAATTATTGCTTCCTATACCTAACGGTATTTTGTAAAATGTATTTTTTTTTTGTTTTGTTTAGGAAGTACAGTTTCTTTATAATATTGCAGTGAAAAAAATTTGTAATTAATATGTAGTTGTGAAAATTTAAAGAAAAAAAAAAAAAAAAATAAAGAAAAAAAAAAAATATAGTTTTATACCTCTATAAAAAAAACTTCACAGCATAAATACATCAAATATTACATGTAATTATTACACGTTTAAAAATATAAAATATATTATCCAGAGACAAAATTATTTCTTTAAGCTTATTTTTAAATGAGAGGTAACTCCATTCCAGAGAAAAATCAAAATGTTTTAAAACTATTTTATTCCAAAGAAAAGCGAAATACAATGTTAGTTTTTCCAAAATTAGTTTGATAAAAAGGTTACCGAACTAAATTGTCATTCCTCATTTTGTATTTATTTTTATCTTTCAAGGTATATAAATAATGGAAAGAAACTGGGGAGGAATTTATTTTACATTTGTACATAAAACAAAAAGTATTAAAAATATTGAGCTGAAACATATTTAAAATTTTCATTTCAGATAAAAGAGGCCTGGCATCAGTAAATCGGTCTTTAAAATTGATAAGACGAGCAACATGCTTCTGCTGACGATAAAAAGGTTTTAGTTTACTTTAATTGGTATTACAATATTTGCATAGTTTAAATGACAATGGATCAAAGAAAAATATAATTGTGTTAAACTTTGTTTATTTAAGGCATTTCTAGCCTTATATATTAAACCTATACTTTTAGCAATTTTGTTGTACAAAAAATTAGTGTGGTATTTCCAGCTGAGATTTTCATCAACATGGACACCTAAAAAGTTAGTATTTATTTCTCTTTTTATTTGAATTTTGTCTATAAAAAGTAAGGGCAAGTTAGGAGGCAGTAGTTTCTTTTTAGAAGTCGGATGAAAGAGTGACTATTTTGTTTTATCCACATTTAGTCAAAATTTATTCATTTTGAACCATTCACAAATTTTCTCTAATTCGATGTTCATAGTTTGAAATAATATTAGAATACATTTATGCGATAAAAAAAAGATTAGTGTCATCAACAAACATGACAGTCATTAAATTTGACGCTTTAGGGAGATCATTGATGTAGATTAAGAAAAGAAGTGGTCCGAGTATAGAGCCTTGGGGAACTCCACAGGTTATATTTAATAAATTAGATGTACCACTTTCATTACTATAAACAAACTGTTTATGGTTGTTTAAATAACTTTTAAGTATCATTAAAACATTCCCTCTAATTCCATAGTATTCTATTTTTTAAGGAGAATTCGATGATCAATAGTGTCAAACGCTTTTGATAAATCTATCAAAATTCCCAAAGTATATTGGGACTTCTCAAAAGATTCAGCTATACTGCAAGTAATTTGGAGTATTGCGTGTTCTGACGAGTTATTTTTTTTAATCCCGAATTGATTGATATATAGCATATTATTTAAGGAAAGATGATTATAAATAACGTTATATAAAAATTTTTCTAAAACTTTAGAAAAAACAGAATTGAACAGAAATTGGGCAATAATTTATAATATTGGTTGGATCGCCTATCTTAAAAACCGGAGTGACTTTAGCTATTTTTAAATGATCTAGAAATATTCTCTGTTTTATTGAACAATGAAAAACTTTAAATAGTATATCTTTTAAGGGTTTATACGAGTCAGGGCTGTGGAGTCGGAGTCGGAGTTGCGGAGTCGCGACATTTTTAGCGGAGTCGAAGCGCTTAACAAAATTGCGACTTCAATAGTAAAACTTCTAGGTATTCTACGTGCATGTACAAAACATTCAACTAACCTTATATTCATACTAAACCTCAAAGAACGTTTTATAAATTTTGTCAAAAAAGAAATTATTAACTTATCGCGTAATATTTTGAAAAAATTCAAAGAATTTTTCCAAAATTTTGCTTTGGAGTTGGAGTCGGAGTTGGAGTCGGAGTCGGAGTTGGAGTCGGAGTCGGTGTTTTACTTAAAATATTTCAACAACTGGAGTCGGAGTCGTTACTTTTTTTTTACGACTCCACACCCCTGATACGAGTCGATGACAACATTACTATTAATTCCATCGCAACCAACGAATTTATTTAATTTAAGCATTTTGAAAGATTTTTCAAATTCTTCAAAGGAAAGTTCATAAGATGTTAAAGTTGACGATATCGGAAAATCATAAGCATCTTTTTTGTTTAGCATTTAGCATGAGAAGAGGCTTTTACTCGTTTCCAATGAAGCAGAGATAATTGTTCTTTGAATGCTTTTAAATTCGTTGTAGTAAAAAAACGTTTTTTAAATGTTACTTTTTGTGTAGATATTTTGACTGTATCGATATTAGTTGAGAAAAAAATAGGAAAGTGGACAGAGATATCACTTTAAATTATACCTTTTTTGAGCAATTTATTAAAAATATCGGTTGTTATTATATTGTCTATTGAGGTAGCCGATGTTGCAATAATTCTTGATGGTAAATTAGTTATAGAAAATGCACCATGTTTATCGTTAAAAAAAATTTTATTTTATGATTAGTATTGTATTAAAAACAGTCCCAATTAATATCACCTATTAAGTAGTATAATTTCTTTTCATGAATGCTTTTACTTAAAATATCATTTAAAAATATATTAAAGTTTTCAATTTGACTAGAGGGTGGTCGATAGCAGCAACTTAAAACCAAATTTTTTTTTTTAAGGCTTCAACTTCAACTGTTAAAACCTCTTTATTGTCGTCAGAATTACTCATATCAGGCCTGATAATATACCTCAAGCATTCTTTTAAATATATTACTAAACCACCGCCTCGCTTTTTGTTTTGACGTTTTAAATAAATTTTTTTGAACCTGGTAAACAGGTGTTTGTATTAGAACTTGCGTTATCTGTGTGGCACCAAGTTTTTGACATACAAATTAAATAAAAATCTTGAACCAAATATCAAATAACAATTCTTGTGTGCTTTCGAGATGAAGAAAAGAGAAGTTTATTACTGATGTGTTTCAAGGCTATGTATGGATATTTGAAACTGTCGCGTTCAGGAACAAGATAATAGGTCTAATGTGTCAGGTGCTTATAATGAAGCTCAACTTTAGTAAGGCAAAATTCTTGGAAGCTCTGTATGTTCACTTTAGCGCTCACAATCTGAGTTTGGCAGGTGTGCACGCAGTTAAATCAGCCATTGAGATCAAATTATTTTTTAAAAAAAGTAGAACCTTGGAAGGTATTTTTTAATCTTGCCCGATGGAAGATTCTCACTGAGGTGACAGAAATTTTATTGCATAAACTTTTTATAACAAGATAGAGCTCTCGTACTTACTTGATTAAATCTTTTGTTAAGAAGCCGAGAGAAATGTTTGCAGTTCCTAAACATGTCATTTTTCCTAAAACATGGATCTGACCAGTGAGCTGCTCAACCAAATAAGAGACTTAAAAAATGATTATTTTCCTTTGAATTTGTATTGCTAGTTAGGATTTAGTACAAAACTAATACTGTTGTTAACGACGTTAATCGTCTTCTAAAATCTGAACCAATTACCTTTGATGACAAGCTCTTTATTTGATTAGACAGCTGGTGGAAAATTTTAAAGGGATTAAGGGCTCTTGATTGGAAAACTTCCAACCAAGAGGCTGTAGCTGTAGCTGGACCATTAGAATTTGAAGCTGATTTCTCTACTAAAAGAAGCTGATCTCTCTACTAAAAAATTAAAGCACTTTCACGATAATAGCCAAAGAAAAGAATTCAAAGTGAACGTTTTTGATGTTGGTGAAGATAGTCTGATTGAGCAGATTGATTCAAGAATAAAGGCGAGTAGGATGGTTTGTAATACGTTCTAATTCGCCTGGTTGATTAATAATGATCTTTCCGTTTAAAATAAAGCTTCAAAACTTGATGAGTTTTATCCTGGAGGTGTGAACAAAGAGAATCTCATTGGAGAAGTTTAACTACTCAACCAAATCTTTGAAAAGAAGCTTGAAAAGTTTTAACGCTTTTTTTTATACATTTACATCACACTCCGGATTTAAAACACTATTCCTGAGTCTGTTGCTGAGGGTGAACGAATATTTAGTAAACTAAAAATTGTAAAGAACCCTCTCCGTTCAACCATGGGCCAGGATCACATTACTGATATTCGAATATTTTAATTGAAGAAGATTCGGCTAAAAAGGTAAGCTACGACAATGTCATCGATACTTAAGTAGCCAGAAATGCTCAAAAAATTCATTTTAAGAGCCTTTTTAACCTTTCTTGAAGATTTTGTTGATTTTTTTTTTTTTATTGGTTTTAAAACTAATGTTTTGGTTCATATGTCACTTCTGATTAATGTTTCTGAATCCAGAGAATAAAAAAAGTAAAGCAGAAATACAATGTGCTGTATCAAAAATTGTTGCGTTCACAAAACTTTAAATTTTATAACTTCTTGGTTTGAAAAAGGGCGCCGTTCTCCATTTTTGACCCGGGCGCCATCAGCGCTTTCAAAGGCCCTGTTTATATAACCATTCAATATAATTATTAGCAAACTATCTTTTAACCTTTCTAAAATCATTCTAAATGATCAAATGTAACAGTTGTTTTATTTTAAAAAAACGCAGCTGTTAATACTTTTTTGGTCGAAATACCCCCTAGAAAAATAACCTGGATCCATCCCTGCTACGTGTAGTTTCTCATATTGTTATTACAACTCTATTTAGTTTTTATTCCATTCAGGCGAGAGTTTTCTGTGCAAAATTTATCTCCAAGGGAATGGTTTTGCAACCATTAAAAGAAGTTTCTTTATATAATTCTCCAAACGAAATTGCTTGTGATGCAATCGTTATTCTAAACAAGTATTAGAAATGATTGTTTTAAGGGAATTGATTTCATAAGAGTCATTACAGTTATTTTAATATAATTAATTATGTGATATCGCATCCATATTTTAATTTCTTATCTGGTATCGTTACTTTAATTAAATCTCTTGTGGTATCGTTATTCTCGCCCGGTCTTTAGTTCTGTATTCAACATTTAACAACTAAACTTTAGTTTTAAACAATTAAACAAGTATACTTTAGTTATTAAAATATATCTTCATTCATATGCCTCTTACAACATCTTTAATCTATTTCAAAAAAATATATAGGTAAGTACTACTTAATAAGTATTGTTTATACTTTATCTTAAAAAGTAATCGACCACCTGGTTTTATGTCTGCCCACTCTGAATTTTTTTGTTTCATATATATCTTTTTTTAGCAGTTATTTATATTATAATATTTCTAAAGTTATTTAAATCCATTGACATTTTTTAGATGAAAATGCCCCCAAAATTTAGGGCATTTTTCAGTTGTAAAGACCCCGAGTGAGTTCGAAGCGTCCTGCTTTTTGTTGCTTTTAATGAAAATAAAATAAAAATCATAATAAAAAAATAAAAGCTATTTATTTATTATTAAACTTTATTGTACCTTTTCAGGAGAGTCTGCTCTGTGTAAAACTTGTGGAAATAAGCTTGCCACAAAGCAAGCAAATACTATTGGCTTGCGAAAGCATATTCAGACACAACATAGGAAGTTATTCATCAAACATCAAAAGAAAGAAGACGAGCAGAAATCACAAGTAGATGAAGAACAAAACGTAATCGAGGCAGGCCTTTCTGGATCTGCAAAGAATATTGCGTTTAAAACTCTCACTTTTCCGAAGAAGGAGTTTACGAAAAAGTGGTACCCTAGAACTGAAAGATGCTTTTCATTAAGCCAGCTCACTTAATACCAGGCTTCATAAATCAACAGCCTTCAGTGCTTCGTTAAAAGATGCTTGTTAGATGTGAATTACCTCAAAATACCCTCCACAGTAACCACGAGATAGAACAGTCATTATACTATGCTGCACACCATGCTTTAACTGAAGGTTAAAGTCCACTCATATACTTACGTGATACAGAAGGTGATGATTAGAAGTAAACAGTACCTACAAATAAATAGTTCCTACTTTTTGAAGCTATTATTCCAGTGCTAAAATCTGCTAAAGAATTATCAGCTTTTTTATTTTCTGAAACAGAGAATTGACATGTCACTATGGAAAGTAACAGCACTCATTAACTTCATCGAAAAAAAAATAAAATAACCATTTTACTGAGGAAAACGACGAATTAGTAGAGAAATCTTTGGAAGACTTATTATCAGAACTAAATAAGAGATTACCAGACAAAGACCGTAAATTACCCGCATTTGCACTGAGACATTACCTCCATCCATTTTTCCGTTATATGAAAAATAAATGGAAAAAAAACAAAAAATAATAAGGATACTACATCACATCATGAAAACCTATTAAACTAGAAACGGAAAAATACCAAAAAACAATAAAATCCAAAAATGCAAGTAAAGTTGACACATTGGCATGGTGGAAGCAGCATACACCTGAACTTCCTATCCTTTCAGGTGTTGCAAGATCCTGTTTGGCAACTCCACCAACCCCTGCATCATCTGAAAGAGCATTTTCTGCTATTATATCTACCATCACAACTGATGGTAGATACAATCTCGATAGTGACAAGGCAGATTATAAATATAAGCTTGTATTTATAATGCAGAACTATTCCGCTCTTGAGAGTTACACCAAAAAATGGCCTATCGAACAAGAAAACGAAAGTGAAAATAATATAGGACATGAATTAGACTTATCTTTGCCAAGATTAATAGAATTTTTTTGCCAATATTAATAGAAATTCTAAAATACCAACGAAAGTACAGCAATGGGAAAAACAACAAATGGATAAAGTATTGTAGATGTAAAAAATGCAATTATACTTGTATTTTGTTAATAAAAAATTGAAGTTACATTTTAACTTTTTTATGTCTTAATGAGTCTCGATTTGAGATCATGCGATACTATACGATTCTTTTTAACATCAGTATCGTTTGGTATTGAACCAATACTTATAGTATTGACATTATTATATAAGCGATACCACGCGATACGAGACCATCTTTCTCGGTATCGACATACAATACCGATTGTCTAGTGTCTATCGTTAAATCTGGGTCTGTAATTTTTATACTCTGTAAGGTTTTTTTCGGTAACGACATACAATACCGATTATCTAGTGTCTATCGTTTTATCTGGGTCTGTAATTTTTATACTCTGTAAGGTGCATTTTAGGAAAGAAACATTTTCAGCATATGGTTTTTACATATTTTTTTTTCCGCTTGACAAGCTCTTTCGTATAATAGCACTCGGAAAAGGTCAAGGCTATTATTACACCATTAGCAAATAGATGTACCACAACAAGACTAATTCCATACCCACAATTTTCTTTAAAAATATTAGAACAATTTCATAAGTTCTAATTTATTCGACTTCTAATGTGTTATTCGATCATACAGGGTTAAGAGTGCAAAGATATTTATATACGTTTTTATAGAAACACTGTAAAATAAATTTTTTTTTTTATACCAAACAACTGTTTTTGCGTATTTATGTGTTATAGCATTTCAATTTTGGGCACAATCCATCACAAAAGGTTGTTGCATTTTTCTTATTATTTTTAAAAATCTACAAAATTTGTTAGGTCTCATCTAAAAACTAACCACTAATACGTTGAGGAAGTTATCCACTTTAGACAGTTACAATACTGATAGAAATTTTCAAAAAACACACTCAAATAATATATTCAATTATTTTTAATTGAATTCTGTCGTGTAATCAATAATTAGGAAAAATTCAGATCATTTCTTCAGATCATTTTCTTATAGAAGGTTCCATTAGAAAATACAGCGATATTGTATGAAAAAGTTATGTTTAATTATACTGAAAAAAAAAAGAGAACTTACCATTTTCTGTGTTTTTGGTGCAATGTTTATTTATTTCATTTGTTCACAAAAAAATTAAAAAAGAATATGATGGTTTAATTTGGATTTAATGCCATAGTCTTTTATAGAAAGGTATACCATAAACTTTTTGTTATTGATGCATTGAGAGTTCTAAGATAACTATAAAAACAGAAACCCAATTGTAATACTTCAAGTTTAAGAAGTTTAAATGTATAGATGATAACACAATAAAAGCACTAAGAATATTATTAGAAAGTACGATCTGTTAGAATATAATACCATTAACTTATACTTTGAAGTAACTACTATACTTTTATTTATTTATTTAATTTTTTAGGTGCCCCAAGAAGTCCTTGTTGTCTTATCACGAAGCACCGCGGAAGGGCATTTAATAGGAAGTTCACGCCTCCTTCCCAACCGATGTCGTAAAACTTGCCAAGAGGTGGGGTTTGAACCACGGATCTTACGTTTCTGAGGCAAGTGCGCTATGTTCTCAACACATTTTTTTAAAAATGTGTTGAGAACATTCCAATGCTAATTAATTATATATTGCATTTGTATCGCACGGGTAAAAAAAAGGTTAAATCATGGTTAAACTATGTGTTCGGGATTTTTTCTTTTATGTTTTGTATATTATTAAGTAATTATTATATATTAATAATTATTTTGTTGTCTTAAATTTAATAGATACAGGGGTGGGACCGCAAAATGTGAACGTTTTTGTTTTATTATAACTATTTTCTCGTTAGATGTAGTTGAGTTTATTTGATAAAAAACGAAAGACAAAGTACTAATGAATATGTAAACAAACTTATAAACTAATGAATATGTCGCAACACTTATAAACATGCCGTCTTCAAAATATAAATTAATTCCAAAAAGCCGTATAATTTCAATGATCATGGATAAAATTAGTTACAGACGAATCAAAACCATATTAAACAAAGAAGGAATCGATGTATCAATTGGTTATATAAGTAAGTTAAAAAATGAGATTACTTTAGACCACCAAAAAATTGCAAATGATCAAATAAAGAAGAAACGCCACGTGCCGCCATTAAAGCTCTCAAGTACTCAAATTCAAAAACTCAAAAGATTGGTTTTAAAAGACTCATGCCCATCAATTTCACATCTTGCACGATTGTTTGGTGTGTGCAGAAGAACAATTAACAACTATATCAAATTACACAGATTCAAATTACACAAATTCAAAAAGCAAAAAGTTCATGATTTGTCTCCGGCTGCTAAAGAAAAGAGGTTTCAAAGATCTGCTCGTTTATCAAATTTTATAAAGAGAAATTGGCGCAAAACAATAACAACAGACGAGAAACTATTCCACATTTCAAATTGTAATCAAGAAAATAATTATTATTATAGTAGAGATAGAAAAAACATTCACAAAAAGTTTAAAACAAGACCTAAAAGTTTTTCGAAGGCAATAATGGTATGGGGCGGAATTTGTTATAATGGAACCACAAAACTTAAATTTGTTAAACAAGGTGTTAAAATTAATGCAGATTGTTATATTGATAACATTTTAAAACCATTTTTCAGTGAAGATTGCAAGCGTTTATATCCTAAAAAAGATTTCATATTCCAACAAGACTCGGCGCCGAGCCATACATCTAAAAAGACAATTTCATTTTTAAACAACAATAGAATCAAATTCATTCCACCTGAAATGTGGACACCATTTAGTCCAGATAACGCTCCAATGGACTTTTGTATTTGGGGATATATGCTTGAAAAGTTAAAAGATCGAAAAGTAAAGACAATCGACGGCTTGAAACGCCACATTATTGACATATGGAAGAACATCCCTCTCTCACTCATCAGAAAGTGTCTAAAGAGTTGGTCTAAACGTTGTAAAATGATCTACGAGAATCAAGGAGGTCAAATTGAACATTTAAAATAGTTCATATTTAACAGAAAATTAATTATTACAATCAGAAAAGTGTTCACATTTTGCGGTCCCACCCCTGTAAATGTTTAAACTTTTAAAAAAGGCTTTTAATACTTTTTATTTCTGTTAGTACGTGTACAATTTTTTTTTTCCTCATATGTCCGGGCCTACCCGACTTTTCCCTACTGCTATTTTACTTTTGGAAAAATTTAACTATTAGTGATTGAAGACTTATAGAATTATTTACCGATGGTGCCTGCATCTGTTGCGCTCTAACCACTGCGTCACCACCGCTATTATATACACATTCGTGTAGTTCGTGATTAATTCGAATTTTCGGGTATAGCAATTAACGGCTTGCACCCCGCAGCATCCTGTCAAACAGGTTTTTTTTTAATTATTTTTGGTACTGTTTGTACTGTTGCCAAGTAACGAAGAACAATTCGCAAAAATAAGTTTGCTCAATAAAAAATTAAAACTAATACATTTTAAAGCATTAAAATTAATTCCAATAGATTCAAAACGGGTGATGAGTCTCTGGAAACTTAACCAACAGTTGGTTTCGAAGATGATGCACCACATGCTCCCATGATAGAAACTCGGCCAGCTATAATATAAAAAAGTAAAATAAATAACTTTCGATTTATGTTTACAATGTTTTCGTTTTGTTAATAACTTAACTAAAATCGCTTAAAACGCGTTTAACTTTATGAAAATAACGAGTAACTTTTTTGGTCTCTTTAGAGTGACGTGTTAAATTTTATATGATAATATCAACAATTGGAAAATAGATTTTATGCGATCTGCCCCTAAAATCCCCAAAATTTTTAATATGAAATATAATAACTAACAAAAAATAGTGCAATCGCAAATTTGTATATATTCAAATTGAGACAAACACTTAAAAAAAATTTTTTTTTAACTAATAATCAAAAAATATTATTATAATATAAAAAATATTTAATTATTATAATATAAATATTATTTATTATAATATAAATATTATTATAATAAAAATATTATTTAAAAAAATACATGGCACTACGCAGCGACAACGGTAACAACGGTAGTCACATGATATCATTGAAAGCCGTCACACTTTTTAAGGTCGAGACTTTAAAGTTTATTTAATGACTTATTTTGACCTAAAAATTTCGATTGGAATATCTTTGTCTCAATCTTGGGTTTAGTTGGAGTGTACCAATACTAGATAATCTTTTCATCCAGAAACGATACTTACAATTGGTTCTTTAATATTGGATGACATATGATGGTTGTAACAAATAATGAGACCATCATACGTCATCTGTTTATAAAAAAAAAGTAGCTGACAATTGAAACTTTTGGTACTGTATGAAAAAAAGTATACAAATGATTTAGAGTCGAAAACAATACCCTAATAATAATAATAATAATAACGCCCACATAATAATAATAATACTAATAATAAATAATAATAATAATACCCTAATAAAAACATTTGCATCACGATTGTACTGCAAAAACGAATTTACGTGCGTGACAAAGGTTAAAATAAACTATACACCATCAATGGTAACAAAAATCATTATATATTAAACTTAATTGTTTAATTTGATCTGTTTATTTTCATTTTAGTTGAAACTTATTTAGTTATACTGATTGGCATTTTACCAAATATTTATAATCATTTTTATTGTTTTATTATGTATATATTTTTCTGATAAAATTACTCTGTAAAACTTTCTATTTTTTATATTAATTCTATAGTTTTTTCTATTGTAGCTTGTTTATAAATATACATATAACAGACACCCGATTATTCGAATTCGCACTGGGGATAAAAATTTACTTGGAATAACTGAAAGCATGAGTTTGTCAAGAAAATTCTACAGCGAAAAAAAATCGCTTAGGATTTGAACTTCTATAATAAGTGGCGGTTCGAAAAATCGGGAATCTGCTGTACATACATATATACGTACATACAAATACAAAACTAAAAATATATAAAATTAACTAAAAAAATAATTTACTCGAATAATTGTTTCAAATTCAGCTTTGGTAGCAGTGTATTCTTCGGAGAACTTGAGAATTGCGTTTAATGACCTTCCATAGTGTTTATGTTCAATTCCATGACGAGCTGTCAATAAAAGAAGCCCCTTGTCTTTAGAATCTACAAACTTCATCAAATCATGATAACAAAGGTCCAGATCTGAAACTGATCAAGAAATTAAAACATTTTAAAAATTGTGACAAAAAAAAAAAATCTTACAATGTGGCAGGTTGTTTTGAAACTATAGATATCACCTATAATCCAGGTATGTAGCAGGTCGTTTTGAAACTACAGACATTACCTATAATCAAAGTACCTATTCATAGACAGTTTATTCAGGAGTCATAATGCTATGCTGAATCACAATGAAACCAACTACACTTTTTTTATATGGCTTACTCTGTGCATCTTAAATACGACTTAGTATCAATGCTAATGAGTTCTTTGAAGTGTGATGACTATAGATTGCATGTCATCAAAGACTACAATACTGTGTCATTCTTGATAGACCTTTAAGACCAATTCATAAAATTTTAATTTCATAAAGTTTCCACCTCTCAGAGGAGTAATTTATCAGTATTACAGCAGTCTTTATTTGCTTTCATATTGTCACAGGTTTCGTATGCATCAAGTCATATTGTAATAATGTTTGTATTGAATCATATTGTATCAACTTTTGCATGTAACAAGTTTTGTATTATATTATTTGCTTTCATATTGTCACAAGTTTCGTATGTATCAAGTCATATTGTAATAATGTTTGTATTGAATCATATTGTATCAACTTTTGCATGTAACAAGTTTTGTATTATATTATTTGCTTTCATATTGTCACAGGTTTCGTATGTATCAAGTCAGATTGTAATAACTTTGGTATTAAATCATATCGTATCAACTTTTGCATGTAACAAGTTTTGTATTGTATCTAGTCTTGTATCGTAACAAGCTGCCTATGGTAATAAATTTCATATGGTAACTGGCTTTGTATGGTAAAAAAAAATTGTTTTGTAACAAGGTTTTAATCAAAAAAATTACAAGTTTTTTTTACAAGTTTAAATATTGTATAATGTCTTGCATCTTATCAAGTTATTCTACCAAGAGTTTCATAAAAATTTATACCTAGTGTGTCAACTTCATAAGTTGGTAAACTTCTATCTGCTTCTAACATAACAAATAGTATATTTTATATATATTAAAGTGTATTTTTTTTTAATTAAAAACTAGTTTTTATTTGTTTTTAAATTGCTGAAAAAAAAAAAGGTTTTACCTCCAACTGCCTGCAAGCTATCTGCAACAGCAAGACCCTTAAAAAACAAATATTTATTATTTATTATTAACCTAAAAAATATGTACTTACTCAAAAATATTTTTAATATATTTTATGTAGTGTTCAGAACTTGTTATTTTTTTTGCAATTCTATGTGTGTATATAAACACACAGAGAGGAGGAGAAAGAGTCTTGCATGGTAGTCGAAAAGATTCTTCCATAAACTGTAGTTTTATAGAAAACGCTAATAAACCAGGCTAGAAAAAGTTTACAAAACTTTAATAAATTTTTTTAATTTTAATTAATAAGTTGTTTGCCCAAACCAAACCCTCAGTAAATGTAGCAGCTCTTCCTTGTAGCAGCAGGCTTTCGCTAGTTGCTATTATTGTGACTTTTTAAAAAACAATAAAACTTAATGTACTTCCGCATTATTTTAATTGTTTTAGCTTTTCGACAACAATAAAATGTAGCTTAATTGTTGAAGTCGCTTAAATGTTGTTGAAAGAGACTTTTTTACCATAAAAGTTTCTTTCAACCATGATATAAGGATATATATATACATATATATGTATATATATATATATATATACATATATATATATATATATATATATATATATATATATATATATATATATATATATATATATATATATATATATATATATATATATATATATATATATATATATATATATGTATGTATATGTATATATATCCTTTCAAATTGTATTAAGTTGTGAGGAGAACACTCTCCTTAGTTTGCAGTAAATTCTAACTTTGGTCTTGAGCTGTTCCACATCTATATTAATGATCTTCCAGAGCACAGTAAAGACAACCTTAGTAGAGAGATAGAGGATGGAATTTTCTTTCTCTATAAATCTCTCATTTTTTCTTGTATGGAATACTCTTACATATTTGGGCTAGTTTTTCTAGTAAGGCCTTCTCATAACCTACTCATGGTTCAAAAACATTGTTTCAAACATTGGTTTCAAAAACATTAAAAAAAAAATGTTGTTGTTCTAGTTGTCAAGCTTAAGCTTCTTGTTGTAAAGTTGCAAATTTTTTTCTTTTTTACAAAAGCTACCATGATCGCTTTTGTGAAAAAGAAAAAAGACCTGTTCAACCTGCTTAAGCAAGCTATCAGTACTTGTTTGATCAATCAAATCTCAATTATCATAAGGCTCATTTGATGATTGAGTTCCTTATGCATAAATCATCATAAAGCAGAAATTTACATTTTTTCTTTTTTTCATTTTTCATGTTTTCCTAACTCATACAATTTTAATTTTTCAATTTTTCTTTTAACTGTTTTCATGTAATATGATCTTGCTTGTTTATTATATATAATTATATTATATATAATTAGTGCAAGTTTAGAGCAATATGCTACATTAATGGTATATGTAAATGCGTGCATTAATGAAGTTTTTAAATACTAATTTACTCTCAACAAAGCTGCAAGCAACTACTATTTAAGTTGGGAATTACCAGAAAATATAAAAATGGGAGATAAGAGAAGATAATACGAATGAAAGTAATTAGAAGAACTAAACTTTTTAGAGCATGAAATAACAGATACATTAAAAGGATGCAACTTTGCTGAATGAGGAGTCAAGTGAGAACGAGTTTTGGTTGGTGGGACTAGAGATGCTTGTTTGAGCATTGCCATATTTGTAGAAAAGAGAAAAGGTGCAACTTTATAACAATGGGACAGTAGCTCAAGTTTGAAAGATAGAGCAGGTTCAATTACATTTACAATATGTTTTTATATCTAGAAGAGAAATCCTTAAAAAAAACAAGCCCAAGTATGATAGAAGTATTCCTTACAAGGACAAATAAGCAATTTGCAGAGGTAAAGATTAGAATTGGGAGTTAGAAATAGCACGCAGGATAAAAAAAATACAACTTTAACAGATGAATGTGTGTATGGTTTCAATGAGAGGTCAATGATAATCCAAGAATATGTAAATTAGGAAACTCAGCGAGAGCATTGCTACTCACCAATACAGGTATATCAACAATGTTGTGATTGTTTGCAATAGTTAACAGAGTTTTGTCGGAGTTAAAATTCAAAAACCACTGCAAGCCCCAAGCTGTTACAGAAGAGAGATCAGATTCAAGATCGGCTGCCTGTTCTAAGCAATTGATAAGTGATGACATTTTATCAAGAAAAGAGTATATTGTTGTACCGTCAGCAAATAGAGCTACTTTAGAGGTAAGATTGTCTGGAAGTTCATTAATATAGATGAGAAACAACACAGGACCAAGGACAGAAACTGGCAGTAGATTTAAAGTTACTAGAAACAAAAAAGAGTAGTTAATAATAATAGTAGTAATTAATAACTATAGCTATATTTATAGCATTTACTTTAATAAATGGTTTAATTATTTTTTGAGTCTATAGACCTATTAATATAAATTTAAAATACAAATTTAATGTCTTTATTTATTAATAATTATTAATAAAATTAAGATATTATTGTGGGTTAAAAGATCAACTGCTTTGCCTCTTTTACCAGTTCTATTTACTGAAGACATAGATCACATAATTACAACAAAATAGAGGAATATATCAAGCGTGGTAACAAGTGTACTTGCAGTCTACTGTGAAAGTAGTATAAGATTGCATTTGACACAAAACTTAAAAAATATTTGATTTTTTAGCAGGTCAAGTTCGTGATGTTGAAACTGAATCACAACTCTATCCAGTTATTGGAGTTTAAACAACCTTTTATAATTAAAAAAAAAATTAAAATTAAAAAAAATTTTTTTTTAGATATTTAAAACAATCCTTTTTTCACACCTGAATAAACATGTGCTGAGTGTAAATTTATTAAACTTTCAAAGGAATAATAAATATAACTTTATTATGCACATGCTTTTAATACTGTCAACTTGACATAATTTATAGAAATATACAGAAGAATATATTGAAAACTGATATAACCTGTTGCACAAATATACTGAAGAACATTTGAAATTAATAGAACATTGCATATAAATAAATTTTGATAATTTTTTTCTAAAAATATTATTATTTTGCTATATTTTTTTTTTTTAAACAATATAAACTCATATGAGAGGAAGTTCATAAACTCTGATCGGCTTCTTTTTAAAAAATTCAAAGATTCATAATCTTGAAAACACGTATCAATCAGAGTATCAGGTTGTAAATTTTACTCTAAATATTGAAATACTCTAAGTTACTGGCATACCTATGGATTTACGGAATTATATTTTGGATTTACGGATTTATATTTTGTAGAATTACCACCCTAACATAATTACCACTTATAATTACCTAACAAAATAGAACAAATAAATATAAGTAAAATTTGAAGAAACAATTTCTCTACACGCAGTATAAAGACATTTAACTTAAAATTAGAAATTTTAAAATGTTGATAATTGAAAAACAACGATTGGATCTATAATGATTAAACTACTTGTTAATAAAAGTATTCAATACTTTTATCAGAAAACAATATTCCCTGCCTTTAAAATTCTCCTCCCAAAGGACTAAAAAAACTTTTGAAACAAAGAAAAAGATATATATAAAAATATTTGACATGAGATATAACATATTTGATAACAAGTTGTTCCTTTTTATAACAATACAACAGTTTGACATTATTATTAGAGTCTTTACAAACAGAAATCATTTTATGGAACTTTATTAATCAATTTTTACATACCATTTTGTACAATGCATTAGTAGTGTACAACTTTTGTTTCTCCATCTCTCTAAAGAAAATACAAAATGTATGTATTTCTCTCTCTCTCTCTCTCTCTCTCTCTCTCTCTATATATATATATATATATATATATATATATATATATATATATATATATATATATATATATATATATATATATATATATATATGTATATATATATATATATATATATATTATATGTATATATATATATATATATATATATATATATATATATATATATATATATATATATATATATATATATATATATATATATATATATATATATATGTATATATATATATATATATATATATATATATATATATATATATATATATATATATATATATATATATATATATATATATATATATATATATATATATATATATATATATGTATATATATAAATTTGTAAACAAAGAAAATACAACTTTTTATGGTACTAATAGTTTCATGCTAAAGGCAATCTTCGGCCATGTAATACAAATTCAAGAAATAAAAAAATCGTTAAAATAAAAAGTTACAATGAAGTGTGTTCTGTTGTCATAACAACAAACAACAGAAAGAAAAAAGAAAAAAAGAAAAAATTATAAACGGCTACCTAATCATGTTAAAAAATCGTGAAGTATTTAACAGAATCAAAAAGTATTTAACAGAAAAAAAGTATTTAAACAAACCTACTGTCCGTCTTTTAAATCCAGCAAAAAATGAATTAGGAAGAATCAGTAAATTTATTTTATCTAATGTCATTGCTGAGCTGAAAAATATTCTTAATCAATGGAAAAGCATTCAAAATGTTTTAGATTGGTTCAAAGGTATTAAAAACAAACATTTTTATAAATTTTTAATTTTTGACATTATTGATTTTTATCCTTCTATCAATGAAAATTTTTTGAATAACATGATTAAATTTGCTGAGAAATATGTCACCATTAAAAACAAAAATAAACAAATAATTAAACAAACCCGAAAATCATTGTTGTTTAATAAAGAGCAAACTTGAATTAAAAAGAACAGTGGTTTGTTTGATGTTGCAATGGGTGCTTTTGACGGAGCATAGGTATGTGAGCTTGTCGGAATTTTTATTCTTTTTCAGCTATCCCAGCATTACAACAAAACAGATTTTGGTCTATACCGAGACAATGGGTGAGCAGTTTTCAAAAATGCAAGTGACCACCGCATGGATGCAATAAAAAAACATATTATTCAAATTTTTAAAAATAACAATCTTTCTATCTCTATACAATGTAACATGAAAATTGTGAACTTTCTTAACGTGACACTGAACCTCAATGATCAATCTTTCAGACCATTTCATAAACCAAATGATGAACAAAGTTATATACATGTTGAATCCAATCACCCTCCTAGCATTTTAAAGCAACTTCCTCGTTCTATACAATTAAGGCTGTCAGTTAATCTATCTAATGAAAATATTTTTCGAAACTCATCTGATGTGTATCATGATGCATTAAAAAAGTCTGGTTACAAATTCAAACTTAACTAAATTCCAAAACTTATCCAACCTCTATCAAAAAATCAGAAGCATAATATAATCTGGTTTAACCCCTCATATAGAAAAATATTTTTACCAAAATTGGTTAACTCTTTTTGAGTTTAATAGACAAACACTTCCCAGCTGGCCATAAACACCACAAGATTTTTTAAAAGAAATACTCTAAAGGTGAGTTACAGTTGTATGCCAAACATTTAATCAATAGTTAACTCTCATAACCATCATATAATGAAAAACAAAACCTTTGATTCCAATAAACATTACAATTGTATTATCAAAAGCATAGTGTATCAAGCCTCTTTGTACCCAGGCACTCAGGACAGGAATGAAAAAGTGTATTTTGGAGTGAGCGAAACCGCATTCAAACTTAGATACGCTAACCATACAAAATCTTTTAATATCGAAAAATATAAAAACGACACTGAATTATCTAAGGAAGTATGGAGGTTAAAAGAAAGTGGAATTGAATGGAAAATTGTAAAACGTTGTAGATCTTACAACCCCACAGTAAAACGTTGCAACCTTTGTTTATTTGAATAGTATCTCATAATATCTTACACCAATGATAACTTATTAAATAAGAGGAATGAATTAGTTTCTAAATGTAGATGTAAAAGCAAATTTCTTCTTTCAAAGTTCGATTTGAGTAATTAGGCAGCCATTTATAGTTTTTTCTTTTTTCTTACTGTTATTTGTATACTCATTGTAACTTTATATTTTAACTGTTTTTTTATTTCTTGATTTTGTATTACATGGCAGATGAAACTATTAGTAACATAAAAAGTTGCATTTTCTTTGTTTACAAATTTATATATATTTAATGCTCTATTAAATAAATAAATCCTATTTGTTTATTATTGAGCACTCTTATATGTACATGAGTTTTTGCAAATACAAAATACAAAATACAAAATACAATTTTTTACAAATACAAAATACCATTTTTTTTTTTTTTTTTTTTTTTTAACATCTTTACTTCCAACAAGGCTACAAGCAACTACTATAAGAGTAGAAAGTTACTGGAAGAGAAAAGACTAAATCTGTAGAGCAAGATAACGATTGACTGATGACTTAAAAGATTGCAAATTATATGAATCAGGAAACCAAGATGAAGGAAGCGAATTCCAAAGAACTGATGTTCGAGGAAAAAAACTAGAAGAATAAGAGTTTTTGAAGCACTTAGGAACAGTCACAGAAAAAGGATGAGACTTAATTGAATGGCGAGTAACACGAGAATGAATTTTAGTAGATGGCACAAGGGACGCTAGCTCTTTAGAGCAGTGCCCATTATAGTATTTGTAGAAAAGAGAAAGAGAAGCAACATTACGACGATGAGACAAAGGTTGGAGATTGGCTGCCAGAGCAGGTCCAACTATGTTTACAATTCGTTTTTGCACCTTGTCTAAAAGAGAAAGAGCATCATTAGAAGATCCGCCCCAGATGTGGCAACAGTATTCCATACAGGGACGGATTTGAGATTTATAGAGAGAGAATAGAATCTGGAGTAAGAAAGTGTCGAGCTTGATAAAGAGATGCAACCTTAGCAGATGCTAATTTTGCAATGGATTTGATATACGGTTTAAAAGAAAGATCAGAAGTAAGAGTTAATCCTAGAAGATGAATGGTAGATGACTCATCTAGTACATTACCATTCATAAATATAGGAAGATCTAAATTATTACGATAACGATTGGCCGAATAAAATTGAGTTTTATCTGAATTAAAGTTCACCAGCCACTGTGAGCCCCAAGCTGTAGCAGAAGTGAGATCCTTTTCAAGCTCAGATACCCCCTCCAAGCAATCAGAGAGTGTAGGCTTCTTATCATGACAAGAGTAAATGGTAGTGTCGTCAGCGAATAATGCCACCTTAGATGTGAGAATATCTGGAAGATCGTTAATGTAAATTAAAAAGAGTATAGGGCCAAGGATTGAACCTTGAGGAACCCCTGAAGTTACAGGATGTGAAGAAGAGTGCTGTCCATCGAGGACAACTTTTATACTACGATTGGAAAGAAAGGACTCAATAATCTTAAAGACGTTACCAGCTACACCATAAGAAGAAAGCTTATGGAGAAGACCAGCATGCCAAACTTTATCAAAAGCTTTAGAAATGTCAAGTGCGATAGCCTTAACCTCTCCACCTCTATCTAATGCACGGTAAAACCTATCGGTTATTACTGTTAGCACATCAGCTGTAGAACGAGAAGACCGAAATCCATATTGATGATCAGAAAGTAAGTTATTTGATTCAAGATGAGAGATTAAGTGTTTGTTGATTAAAGATTCAAAAACCTTGCTTATGACAGGAAGAAGACTAATGGGACGGTAGTTAGATGAATCAGATCGCTCTCCGGAATTTTTGAAAATAGGGATAACAGATGCTGCTTTCCAGCATGATGGAAAACAAGACTCTGATAAGCACTTGTTAAATAGTTTAGAAAGTATGGATGAAAGCTCCGGAGAACACCTCTGCAAGACTACAACAGGAATGTTGTCAGGACCACAAGCTGTTGAAGAGTCTAAGCAGGAAATTACTTTAGATACAGAAGCTGAAGTGATGCGAATGTCAAGCAAGGGATCAACCTGTTTGACGGCTATGTCAGGTAAAACGCAACTAGTGGAATCAAGAGATGATATTGATGAAAAGTTCTTAGCAAACAATTCAGCTTTGTCTTTAGGTGAGGTGACAAAGTATGAACCATACAAGAGAGAAGGAATAACAGATTTGCCCTTATTATTGATACTGTTAAAGATTCTCCAGAAGTCTCGAGAGCCTTACTTTTGTGATGAGATACGAGATTTAATGACCTGGGAATAGCGAGCTTTGGCGTCAGACAAAACCTTTTTACAATGGTTTCTGGCGATAGTGAACAGATGTCTGTTTGCTGAAGAATTGTTTTGATTTAATATAATATATATACATACATATATATACATATATATATATATATATATATATATATATATATATATATATATATATATATATATATATATATATATATATATATATACATATATATACACACACACACACACACACACACACACACACACACACCTAGAGTATAGTATTACTATAGTATTAAAAGACTAGAATGTTTTTAAAAACTTACTGAAAATTTTTGTATGCATAAAAATACACCAAATGTTTTTTTTTCGTTCTTTTTTTTAAATAAAAGCATTCTGAATGTTTTAATTTTTATTTTTTTACTGTAAAATAGCACAAAATATTGCTACATTTTTTTTCAACATCTTAGCTTCCAAAAAGGCTGCATGCAACCACTATTAGAGTTGGAAGTTACTGAAAGAGAAAGATGAAGTTTATAGAGCAAGATAACTATTGAGAGACAATTTAAAAGATTGCAAATTAAATGAATCAGGAAAGTAAGATAAAGGAAGCGAATACCAAAGAACTGAGATTCGAGGAAAAAAAACTAGACAAATAAGAGTTTTTGGAGCACTTAGGAATAGTCACATAAAAAAGAAGAGACTTAATTGA